AAAAGGGTTGAACCTGTATATTTTAGAATGATTTACGAGTTGCATGTGTTATAGCTATATAACATTGAATAGTTTAATTGCACATATTACAGCTATTATTATGCCAATATTTAATTTATTTATAAAAATACATACGAACAATGCATGTGAGACAAATAAACATGCGCGTATTAAAGCTTACTCTTTAATTATTGGTTGAATATCAGCAATATGCGAAGACATGCAATACTGCATATATTGTACATAGACCCATATACAGGTATAAAACGTCTATCAATGCTGTACGCAACATGTTATAAACAATGTATATAAACAAAAATGAAATACTCGTCTCTATATATTATATATAAAACAAAAACAAATTGCCTTCTCTTTGGTTGCGCAACAATGCAAAATTAAATATAAAATAGTATAGAACAATAAGTCGTGTTTAAATCGAAAAGCAGTATATATACTCACACAATACCAGAAGTTACTGCAGGCATGCAGTAACATTATAACAACGTTATTACGTTATAATAACATTGTTACAATGTTACTGTAAGCTTCTGTGTTGTTTGGGTAAATATAACGAAGGATACATATAAAACAAAAATTGCCTTCTTTGGTCATACAAAATATGCAAAGTGATACATAAAATAAAATAGAAATATAGAACAAAAATTACGTTTAAATAGGAAAGCAGAAACTGTTTGAGTACTAAATGTAATAAATTACAAGGTGAGTACGTCAAAAGTGTTACAACTGTTTACCATACGAGTGGTCGGTACGCAGTGTTGTCTGCGCCGCGCATAGATATTACAATTGCTTACTGGCCTCTCGTGTGCTAAACGGTTATTACCCTTTATTAACGTACTCACGTTGTACATGTATAAAGTAAAAACATAAAATGTATCTGCTTTCGTAGTACAACAAAAGAAAAATGTGCGAATGAACATATATAGGAAGTAGTGAACACATACGAAAGAACTATGTAGATATATAATAGATAATATATGCCTGTGTTATTTATCATCATGAGATTCCTTTTCTCCTTCTTTTAGCCTTGCAATACGCACAGACGCTTGTGCTAACCATTTAGATACATATTCTGCAATATCTTTATCTGTTGTTGCGGTATAGGATATACGAATAGCTTCTGAAATATATATTACTATTAGTAATCACAGTTTAGTGTACAGTGTTCTAAACAAAAACAGATACACCGAAATAAATAAATTTGTGTGCTTATTGTCAGTATTAAATTGTATACCATTGCCCGGTGAGGAAGGATTAATTAACAGGAAGATATCAAGAGCAACTAAATGTAGCGAGCAACTAAATCTACAATTACGACTCATTTTTGTTATGACACGCTGTGTTATCTGGATTATATAGTGTGTGCACACACTTCTCTGTAATGTATAAATTGATTGCAAATATTATAACAAAATAAGATTATAAAATACTTACGTATAATAAGTTTTGTAACTTCTAAGTCTTTGAAACATCTCTTATTTTTCCTGCCATTCCAATTAAATTGTGTAACTAAAGTATCTGCAATTGCTGTTTTTAATACATTTCGTAGCATGACATGCACATTATGTCCTCCAATGAGTTGAAATGTGTGAAGCTGAAAGAAATTGTCAATTTAATAAATAAATTACATTTAGGTGGATATATCTCTATGTATACTACTAGCCAAAAGTTTGAAAACTATAAAAATTGTACAATACGCATAAAAAATATCATACCACATCTTCCTTGAATGTTACGTCTTGCAATTGTTCTTCAAACAATGTTAACTGTGATAATGTACGTATCGGTAATCGAATGTCGCTTCTTTGTTCATTGTATGTTTTATTTGCAGATTGTAACTTCGCCGTGCATATATCGACCTTATTTTCAATGCTATCTAATTTATATAATATTCTATTTAATTTGCTAAACATTGCTGTCTTCGATTCTGAAATAATATGATGTGACGTAGTTTAAAAATATCACTATACTGTGTTTATTGTTACATATTATGCTGTAAATATGTTTTACAAGTTACTTTAATTTACGAAACATATTTAATGTATAAAACGTTTTTAATACATACCATCAGTACAGAGGACATGATCTTCAATAGGTGAGACTGTAGTTTGTGTAAACGATTTGTTACCATTTTTTTTAACACTTGCCTTGTTCTTACTATTATCTAAATAATACCAAAATATTTCCATAAACATAATGTATAATATAACAAAATGCTCTTTACATTACCTCTGCCATTATTAAATAACGCGTTCTCGAATATATTGCTGGTATCTTCTTCAGATGTCCTCAATATCTCATGACATTTTGTCGATACAAACTGTTGTTTTTTGGGAAGAACAGGCAGTTTGTATCGAGTATCATTTTCTTTATCAGAATATGATTCATCTCCAGAAGATGATAAACGTCTTTTGGCTTTTTTACGCCTTCTCTGTTTTTCGCGTTCTCGTATTTCAGATGATGACATACCCGTTTCATCAACATTTGATGTATCTTCTGCAAGACATAATTTCTGCAAACCTTCTGCATAATTACCTAAAAAATGTAAAACAAATTATACATGTAAAAATTATCCACATTACTAATAATAAATTATGAATAACATTATGTACTCACTTGCCGTGCCGAAAACTTTATTCACTGGCAGCTCTTCCCAATCGGTGTGTTCTTTAGGAACCTCTCTTGTCATTATAGCTTTATTTATACGTTGTTTTGTCTTTAAATGGCTAGGCCAAATACTTGTAGACGTATCGCCGTTGAACCATAATGCAGGGATCAACTGAAGGCCGTCTTTAAATTCCGCAACGATATATCTTGTGTCATCCATTTGTGTGTCGCACGAAGCCATGTACCCATACAGCACGCATGTCTAAAAGACATCTTTAAGACATCTTTAAGTCGTCTTTTAGACACACATATCTAAAAGACGACTTAAAGACATCTAAAAGATGTCTTTTAGACATGTGTGCTGTATGGGTAGTAACTGCATTATTTCTTATTTTAAGGAATATGTATATGTAACGTACACAATTATATATAATGGTGAAGGGGAAAAATTGCAAAAGTGTTATTGTCGTTTGTACAAGGAATTTTCCAAACTTTACATAAGACATCGGTAATTGGTGAAGAAACAATATCATTACATAATTTCATTACTTTAATATCGAAATCGCTGGATTGACATGGTGATTTATATAAATCTTTAATATATTTTAATTGTTTACCGATAAGATAAATTGCGTTATCTTTATTTCGTACAATGTTCATAATCAGAATGCATTTACCATTCTTTAATAGACAACAGTTATTAGATGCGGTTTTACAATTAATATTCAATCTTCCCTTTATTATTATCGTATGATACTGTGATTCAACATCCATATTATTAAGTATGGGACCATTGTTATGCAAATATTTACAAGAATATGTCTCATTATTTTGATCATATTCTGTACGAAAGACATTATTATTTGCAATCTCATTATAACGTCTCACCAATTGTTGCAATGGTTTTTCTTGTTTGCGTAATCGTCTCTTAATAAATGTCATATAATTCTCAAAACAAAACGCGCTGAAATTGTCGAGTGGACCATACGTTCTTACGTCTGAACATATATGTACGAGGTTATGCACATTATGCGACACATATTCTTTGCCATATAATATTGCAAAGGACTCAACAAAATGATGTAGTAAAGCTTCTGCATAATTGATTAATTCTTTGTAGCATAAATTAGGACGTGTAAGAATTGTTACAGCTACATGTAATGTGAGAAAATGATGATATAATTTCTCTTTTAATATATTTTCCAGTACAACAGGACCAGTATATAATAAAAAACTTCGGAATTCCGTTGCTTTCCATTGTTTAACATCTCTAATTGATCTGGGTCTTCTAACAAAATCAACTGGCGTAGTATACCTAAGTAAAGTCAGCAAGTGTGATATTTTATTAATAGATTTTGCATGTAAGCGTACAGAAAGTGGACCATGTATCCAAAGCAATATTAATTTTTTTACAACTCCTAAACATATCAAATGCATGTAATCCAATGGTGTATTTGTTACAGGTAGAAATTTGGGAACATTATTTAAAATAGACGTACCGACTTGAAAATTTTTGTAGGCGTTAAGTGCAAATAATTTATCTGTTCTTAATGTATAGTTATTTTCATATGGAAAACATGTCCTACCTTTTAGATGTGTGCCCTTAATTGTACATTTGCTACAACTATAAAATCCTGTATGACCTTTTACACACAGTGCGAATGATTTCGCAGGTGCATCATATATTAACGCAAACAATGAAACTTCAATTACGTTCCCGTTATGAATATAACCATTATTAACGTAATATATTAAGTCGTTCACTAACGGTTGCAAAAACACATTACAATGACGAGGTTTTTCATACCCAAAATATGCACCAACAAGGTATACCGTTTCACTTTCTGTATTTGAGCATAATATAGTCCACAAGGATGCTAGTGATGATTTTGCTATAGGCAGACCATCAATATTTATTAGTAACTTCAAACATGTATTATTAGTTTTTAATGCCATCTGTTTAATAATATTATGCATGCCCAAATGAAAGTATTCCCCTTCACATACTTTTACCACATCGGTTTTTTTGGGAGTTTGTAGTAATGTTCGTGTGTCAGTGGATATATTATACGATGTATATTGGCGCAACAGTTTTAATAAAGCGTTACATGCATTGTGGGGAATATTATATGAAACAACCTAAAATTGCTTTTGAACAACCAGCGATATCTATTTCAGTGTTATTAGAAATGATTCTTCTACTATGACGCTTGGAAACAAATCCACAATTTTTGTATACGTTATACATATTTCTTATAATAAGCAATATTTATGTTAAAACCATACTACAAAAATATTAATTTGGAGATTATTCATATCGAGAATATACATATGTTTACATACATATGTTTATGTGTATTGATCATATATATAGTATATTGAATACAGTAATTATAATGTAATTGACCATAATTATAATTAACGATAAAGTAATTCAATCAAAATTATATAACAACTTCAACGTTCGGCACGACATAACCTTTATTTTTCTACTAATTTACTATACTAATGCAAAACAGTAAGATGAACGACAAAATATTATATAACCAAAAATACACATCGACATATTAACCGTGGCTTTTTCTCACGTTGTATATATATGTATAATTTACTGCTTAATAATAATAAATATTACCTTAATTGTTCGCTATAAATTTGTCCGCTACAACTAGCTTGCTTGCTTCCATATGAGCTTTACGAAATCCTCAGACAACTATGGAGTTGATAAAGCTCTCGAACGATTAATGAAATAGACACAAAGGTACACGTAAACGTTAACCTGAAATTAACCACAAAAACTCAAAACCACAAGTGCGTACGCTGGAATGTTTTGAAAGAAGGATCCACACGGCGAATGACGATGGTACATTTGGTCTTGGAGGTTGGAGGTTGGAGGACGTCTATTATGGCTCCTGCCCACTGGA